TCCTTTATGTTCTTTTTTCAATATACCTACTTATTCTTTAAATTAACACAAAATAATTTTATACATTTATGGAGTGTGATTTGATATTTTATTAATTATAAATGTGTACACATTAAATCAAATACTTAGAATATACAAAACATCAAGCATTGGTTTTTTTCTTTGTGGCATGGCATTCAAAATCCTCTCTTTCAGCTTCTCTGGGAAATACAACATATGATTTTGAATTATAACCGCCTTACCAGGCAGTAGATGATCAGAACTCATTCCCTTGTGTCCAGCTGTAACTTGGTACTTCTGGTCAGTCTCCCCTCACTGTCCTCTGCCCTCTAAGCTCTCCATTCGCTAGCAACCGCAACTCAACTCTACTTTGTGTGTTCAAGTTCTTAAAATTTCACATGTGAATGAAATGATGTATATGATTTTGTATTTTTATGTCTGGTTAATTTTGTATAATATGCGCTTGATTCTTTCAGGAACGAATTGTATCAGGAATGGCAGGAGCTCATCTGTCTTGATATTGAGCGGTGTTTATAGATGTATGTGTGTCACGTTTTCTTTATCCCTTTACTGCAGATGAAACTTCATGTGCTTCCATGTCTTGGTTACCATGAGCAGCGCTTCACTTAACATAGGGTTACAGGTATCTCCTTGACACACTGCTTTTGTTTGCTTTGAGTATACACAGTGAGATTGCTGTGTCATATGGTAGTTGTTTAAAAAACACGTTAGGGACCTCTCAGCTGTTTTCCATAACAGCCATGCAAATTTATATTTTATATTGCCACTATCTGTATAAAGATTCTTTTTTCTCATATCCTCACCAAAATTTATTCTTTTATACTTTCAAAATATCGATTCTGTTGTGAGATGATTTCTTTTTGTTTTAGATTTATTTATTGTTATTGAAAAGTCAGATTTACAGAGAGGAGGAGAGAGAGAGAAAGATCTACCATCCACTGGCTAATTTCCTATGTGCCTGCAACAACCAGAATTGAGCCAATCCAAAGCCAGGAGCCAGGAGCCAGGAGTTTCTTTTGGGTTTCCTGTGCGTGTGCAGGGTCCCAAGGCTTTGGGCCATCCTCGACTGCTTTTCCAGGCCACGGGCAGGGAGCTGGAAGGGAAGTGGAACAACCGGGACACGAACTGGTGCCCATAAGAGATCGATCTTCTATTTGCTCCTTTCCTCCTCAAATGACCACAGTCGCTGGGTGAAGGCCAAAGTTGGGAGACAGAAACTTCATCTGGGTCTCCCGCTTGGATTGCAGGGGCCCAAGTAGTTAGCCATTTTCTGCTGATTTTTCATGCACCTAAGCAGGGAGCTGGATCAGAAGTGGTGCAGGCAAGACTCAAACCAGTGCTTATGTGAGAAGCTGGCATTGCAGCTGGCAGCTTAAACAGCTTCATCACAACACTGGTCCCTTAATTGTTCATTTTGAAAAGTTAATTTATGGTATTTAAATCATGTCAAATGAAGACATACCTTAACACACACATATCTGAACAGGTTTTTGTTACTTTGGTGATCCCCGTATGTGATCCTGGCTTATAAAGGCAAGGATTTAGCCACTAGGCTACCACGCTAGGCCCAAGATGATTTCTTACTGTAGTATTGGCTTGTGTTTTTCTGATGATTAGTTGTGGTGAGTGGTTTTTCACATCCAGTTGCATATTTCCATGTCTTCTTTGAAAAATATCTGTATAATCACTTTACATTGTACTTTATGGGAAATAGATTTTAATTTGATGATGGTCTCTTATTCCCTTAGCAGGTCAATGTGATGTTTGAACACTTCAACTCTTAAACACTTGGAAAACAAGGCATTCCCTTTATTAGTGTATCTGCTGAATACAGATTAGGCAAAAAAATTGAAAGAAAGAAAAAAAATTACTCTCAGTGTTCTCTCAAGCAATCATAGCTGAATTAAATAATAGCTGTTGTCCAGTTATATTGAGATGGCAGGCTGTGGTGCGTAGTGCCCAGTGGGACTAGGAAAATCCATGGATGGTTATCTCTGGTTGTCTCAGTCCCTGGTGGCGGCTGCACTTGTCAGGTGCACGGGTTACAAGGTGGACATTGTGAGGATCTCACTGAGGGAACTAGGATGCGGTTCCCAGGCTCCGTTTATCAGACCACTACCTCTTCACTGCCCTGCCCCTCCAGCAAGCCTCGGTGGAGGACTCGCTACTGGGAATGATTGGAGAAACACTGTTGCAGTCAAGCTTGTATACAATGAAATGAGGGAAACGAGACTCAAACATTAGGTTAGGGCTTGATGAGGGCTCGCCCCTTGACCTGGATCCACACTGGCCCCACTAAGAAGGACCTTAGTCTAGTTTGTGGGAAGAGCAGTAGCAAGAGTTGTAAGAAAATTAGTAGCAGTGAGTGGTAGGGGTCAACCAGACCCACATTTGGTAGGGGAGCTTAAGGACCCACTGACAGTGCGAAAGCTTTCTTATGATACCTAACTGAACCTCAGTTTCTGGATTTGCACATTAGGGAAAACAGCAGGAACTGATAAGCAATATAAAGTGTCTTGAAGTGTCTAGTACGCAGCAGGTGCTGAGGAATGGAAAGTGACCTACATCTTGAGATTCTTAAGAATGAAGCATGGTGCCAGGCTTCTGTTGACAACCAGGAATGGAGGAAGTAAACAGGTGTTCTCAGATGAAAGAAACATCAGCAGAACTAAATCAGCCGGTGAGAGGAGTGAGGGGGAACAGAGCAGTAGGTCATTGGTTCAGGATCAGGGCAGTCCAAGTTAGATTGCACACTGCATCCACACAGACCAGAGCCCAAAATCCATCAGCAGAGGGCATACCCTCAGGTCTGACTGGTAGAAAGCCTTCCCCTATGACTTTGTCCCTTCCATAGCTCCTTTCACTGAAAATTTATGAAGGTATCACTCAAGAAGGGTGGTTTTCTGGAGCAGTGATTATAGAAGATGAGGGCAGGTGCTGATGTTGTGATCCAGTGGATCAAGCTGCCGATTGAAATGCTGCCAACCCATATTAGAAGTGGCAGTTTTTGTCACAGTTGCTCCACTTCCAGCTCAGCTTCCTGATAATGTGCCTGGAGAAGTGGGAGAAAATGACCCAAGTATTTGGGATGTTGTCACCATGTGGCAGGCCGTGGTGGAAGTCCTGGATCCCAGCTTCAGCCTGCTCCAGATGTGGCTGGTGCAAGTTTGGGGAGTAAAACAATGGATTGAATTGCCCCCATGGGTCACTCTGTATTTCCAACAGTTATTGAGAAAGAAGTGGAGGATATCTGGAGAGGTTAACCAAAATACAAATTGGGTCAGTTACTGAAGTGAAATTCTAGAGTCAGAATCCTATCAGAGTTGCAGTTTGGAGTCTCCTAGAAGTGTGATGACTCTTGTTCACCTGGCTCTTGTGGAGATCTGAGGCCTTCCCTATATGAAGCACCTTTAAGCCAGGGTCACTGCTAAGCAACCACTGTAGCATTTGTGTATTTCTCACTATGTTGCGCTTGATTCCTCATTGGAAGGAAGAGTGACTCATTCCAGAATGAGTGGGTGGACTGCTGTCAGGCCTTCTACTGTGGGACAACACTTGGCTCTGCCCTAACGGTGAGCTGTGTTTCTTTTCTTGTCTTTCCATCTTAGCCAAGTGTAGGCCACAGTGACTCTAATGTTAGGATACTCACCGCTCAGAGGAAGAATCCTCTAATCACCAGGTAAAGTGCTTAAAGTCAGTTCTGGGATGTGTTGAAAACCATGCCCTGGTTGTACTGCTACTAGACCATTTGACAGTTCATTCTAATACATCCCTTACAATGTGTTGTGTCAAAACCTGCAAAGCGGGCTTAATGTATTATCCAAGCAGTTTCAATTAGATGATCTGTCTCCATATGTCACATATGAGGTGTGTGTTTGTGTGTACCTATTTTCAGCCGTAATCTGTAAATTGCTTCTGCGTTAATGTGTACAAATGTATGTTCTGTTGTTTCCATGACCGCTTTCTAGATGAAGCTTCTGATAGAGATCAGATTGTGGAAAGGAACAGAGAGGCTGGCTGAACTACTGGATAAAGAAATAAGGGCAGGGTTGAAATCAACAGATTACAGACATGAGATGAATGTAAACCCTTCTGGTATATCCTGGTGAGGATTTTATAATTGAGGAGCTAGGGTTGTGCATTGGCATATGCAAGCCCGGAGTTTTAAGGGCCACCACCAAGATAGCTATATTTTGGAAGCACATGAGTAGAACAGAAATGGTAAAGGACACAGAAAAGAATTAGTTGGTTTAGGGTTTGCAGGAATTGCAGAATTCAAGTGCTAATGGGAACAAGCCATCCTCCATCTCTATATAATGTGGCTTCATAGGTGCCAAAAGAGGGGTGCTTTAGAACCCAGACACAGCTTTTAAAGGAGTTTCTGCTGGCAGTCAGTCCTGGAGAGATATTAGCCAAGGGATTGTTTCCTACTGATGGGAGGGTAAATTATGTGATTTCCTTAGAAAATGGATTATAAATACTGAAGGTAAGCATATGCTTTTCCCAAAACCTTCCAAATGTATTCCTGGGTGGATAGACGAAGTAATTAATACAGCATAGCTACTAAAAACATGAAGAGAAATGCTGGAGCTTTTTCTTAATGGCTTCAAATTGTAAGCTGCCCAAGTGTCTATTTCTTCTACTGATACAGATAAACTGAATCATATTAATGATACAGCTCTACATGGCAATGAAAGAGAATAAGCTGCTACATGAATACAGCATGAGTGCATTTCGTAGATTTGATTTTGAGTGAAAAAGACATAAAGAAGTATGTACAGAGATTCCAAATGTATGAAACTCATAAACAGGATTAATGTGTGATGATAGAGTTCAAAACAGCATTTGCTTCAAGTCAAATAGCCTGGGTCTCGATCTGGACAGTGGTTGCACAGTTGGGTGTGAATGTGCACACTCATTAATCTGATTACTTGAGAGGTATGCTAAAGGGTGGCAGAGGGTCTAAGGGTTGAGTTTCTTCAGACAGAGAACTCGCAGACCACATAAGCGGGGGAGGAGCAAGGCACGTCATTCCACTTGCCATTTGGCATGATGACTGTGCAGTCTTCCCCAGAGTCAGCATCATTAGGCTCATGCTCATTCCAGTTCTTGTAGTTGATTGTGCTTCCATTCAGATACTGAAACAGGCCTTCAGCTGCACTGTCTGTAATTCCTATGATCGCGTTTTCGTGGATCACATGCTGGATTGCTTTGTTCTCAGCAGCATTTTGGGGAGTGGCCACCGAGGCCTCAAATTGGGCACACAGGGCTTTGGCTTTATCAAGGGTCATCATTTCATGATAATTCAAGAAGAATTTGTTCCCAGCTTTTTTGCCCAAAGAGAAGAACAACCCTAAAAGAGAAAGGGAAAACAAGCATGGTGACACTGGCTATTCCCAGGTAAAGACTTGTAGAGTAATATGGCTAGATCAAATTCAATCCTCTTCACTTACATTTGAGTTTTAGATAAACAATGACTTTTTCTATTCATAGAAATTCCCATGCCTTTTTGAGGATATACTTGTACTACCTGAAATTCAAATTTATCTGTTGTCCTATCCTTTTGTGAAATCTTTGAACCTAATGCAAAGAGACAAAATCAAAGAGGTTTGTCTTTTCAGGTAAAAGTTATAGGACATAACACTTGAGAACTCTGAATTTTATCATTATGAACTTAAGACTAAATAAAGATGTTTGAGGGCCTGACACAATAGTCTAGTAGCTAAATACTTGCTTTGTATGTGTCGGGATCCCTTATAGGTGCTGGTTCATGTCCTGTGTACTCCACTTCCCTTCTAGCTCCCTGCTTGTGGCCTGGGAAAGCAGTGGAGGATGGCCCAAGGCCTTGGGACCCTGCGCTCAAAAGGGAGATCAGGAAGAAGCTCCTGGGTCCTGCCTTTGGATTGGCTCAGCTCCAGCCATTGTAGCCACTTGGGGAGTGAACCGGCAGATGGAAGATCTTTCTCTCTACCTCTCCTTCTGTCTGTAAATCTGCCTGTTCAAGAAAAAATAAATAAATCTTTTTTAAGAAAGATGTTTGAGTAGATTCTCCCCATGGCAGCAGGAGAGATTACAAGTTCCATCAGCAGGCCTCAGGAGCAGCCAGACAGAGGGGAACAGCCTCAGCTTCTCTGGGCAGCAACCGGAGAGGGTCGGGTCTCCAGAGTCAAACTGCCATCAGTTCAGAACTGACTATGATGTTTATTAACTCTGTGCATTTATGCAAGTAACTTGACTTCTCCCTGCTGCCACTTCCACCAAGTGGTTCTGATGAGCTTAAAATATGAAGACTCTGGTTTTTCCTCAGATCATATACATCTTTTGCCTTTTAAAATGTGATGAATGATACACAGGTACTAAAAAAATACATAATCTACAGGAACTTACTGTTTCCCACTATTCCCAAAATTCAAGCTCACTGAAGAGAAAGAAAGAAAACTTACAGTTTTTGATACGCTCTAATTCTGCTTGCAGAGCTTCTATTGTGGAACTGGATGCCGTAGTAGCACATTCTAGAAAATTTTACGAAAGTGAAGAAACATTGTTAAGAAGTGGTCTGTGTCTTTGGGGGAAAGGGGAATGCTTTCTTTAAACTTAAAAAAAAAGTTCATTTATTCAAGAAACAAAATTTTTTGTGGGGCCTGTTGTGGTAGCCTAGTGGCTTACCTCTCCTTGCCTACACTGAGATCCCATATGGGCTCCGGGTTGTATCTCTGCTACTCCAGCTCCCTGCTTGTGGCCTGGGAAAGCAGCTGAGGATAGCCCAAGGTCTTGGGACCTTGCATCTGCATGGAGACCCAGAGGAAGCTCCTGGTTCCTGGCTTTGGATTGGCTCAGCTCTGGCCATTGCGGCCATTTGGGGAGTGAATCACCAGAAAGATCTTTCTTTCTGTCTCCCTTCCTCTCTGTAAGTCTGACTTGCCAATAAAAATAAATAAATCTTTAAAAAAAAGATGTATTTTGTGAGTTGCACATTATCGAAGAAGGCAAAGTGTGAGGCAAGTCATACGTATGAAATGACAGAAATGGACCGATACAGTGCAGCTTTTGTCCTTTGGAAATGAAGTTCAATTCCATTTTAATAACTCTTAATCTTGTATGGGGTTATGATTTGTCTTGATGAGTATAATATGATGGGATGTATGTATTTCAAAACTTCAGGACATCCTGCAGCTTCTTTCCTTTGTGCTGCAGTAGTTTTAGGAGGGTCGTTGCTTGGCTAGACTGTTGCATGCTGAGAGATGACCTTCATCACTGCAGCTAACATCCCAACAGCAGTCAGGTTTGTGATTGACAGCACTGCCCTCAGTCGACCACAGCCACACGATCACAACAAAGCCATCACTTGACTGACTCACAAAGCTGTGATTTAAACAAATGACTGTGTTTTTAAACCACTAAATTTGGGGTTGGTTTCTTAGGAAGTAAGATATAACTGACATCTCGAGTGCATATGCTCTCATGAAAAGATATAACAGGCTCACACTTAGCCCATGTTGTCCCTCTGGATGCAGGCTGTCATGCTGGACCATTTCAGCAGAAGGAAAGCCTAGCCCCAGGGTCTCCAGGGGGTAGCTGGTGGGAGAATGGCTCTGAAACGTTTATGTGTTTATGCATAAGAACTGCTAGGAACATCTTGAGTTTCTAGTGCAGCGAGGGTCCTGCTGCAAGAAGCAAACTTAGGAACTTTACTTTGAAACATAAGAAAAGGGGCATCCCCTGCCTTTGCTAGTCCAGGATCCTGGGTTCCCTCTGCTCAGACCCTGCTAGGGTGTGTTGCTTACCGCGACTTTCGCCAGGGTCTCCTTTTTGGCCCACGGCACCTGGTAACCCAGGGGCACCTGGGTTTCCTGGAGGCCCCATCTTCCCAGGAGGGCCCTGCAAGCCTCTGAGCCCTTGACCTGTTGGAGGACAAAGCAGTCAGGATTGGATAGCTGTGTCTTTGCCCTAGTGCTGTCTTTTTAGAGGAAGAGGTGTTGACCCAGGGCCAGTGTTTCCAAGCTGCAGCTTCTAGTGACCCAGAGAAGGAAAAAAAAAAAAATCCTTCTGGAGGCCCAGCACAGTGGCCTAGCAGCTGAAGTCCTCACCTTAAGTGCACCAGGATCCCGTATGGACACTGATTCTAATCCTGGCAGCCCCACTTCCCATCCAATTTCGTGCTTGTAGCCTGGAAAAGCCGTTGAGGACGGCTCAAAGCCTTGGGACCCTGCACCCGTGTAGGAGACCCAGATGAGCTTCTGGCTCCTGGCTTCAAATTGGTGCAGCACCTGCCATTGTGGTCACTTGTGGAGTGAATCATCTGATGGAAGATCTTCCTCTCTGTCTCTCCTCCTCTCTCTCCATATCTGCCTTTCTAATAAAAATAAATAAATCTTTAAAAACAAACAAACAAAACAAAGAATCCTTCTGGATTCAGTGGGATGGCCTGACCTGAATAACTTTACAGGACAGGCAAGACAACCACTGGTCTTTAACCTCTGTGGATAATTCTGGACACCAAGAGTAGCGAAGCGTTATCTGTATGTTGATTTATAAAATAAGAGATTTTAAAAAATGTTCATTGAAAAATATTGCTATGGGAGAATGAATGAATTTCAAAATTGTGTCATCAAATTAAACATATTTTAAAATTCAATTTCTTGAGGGCTGATACGATGGTTCAATGGATTAATCCTCCACCTACATGAGCTGGCATTGCATTTCAGAGCTGGTTCATGTCCTAGCTGCTTCACTTCCCATCTGGCTCGCTGTTTGTGGCTTGGGTGGGGGATGGTGCAAGTCCTTGGGACCCTGAACTGCTATGGGAGACTCAGAGGGTACTCCTGGCTTCTGATTGTCTCAATTCTAGCCATTTTGGCTATTTGGGGAGTGAACCAGAAGATGGAAGATGTTTCTCTCTGTCTCTTCTTCTCTCTGTAAATCTGCCTTCCCACTAAAAATTTTAAAAATTAAGTAATTTATAAATTATTAATCTAAAAATAAATAAATTGCATTTCTCATGAACATTTTGAAATATCTTTGTATGTACTTGAAAAAAATACAGTCTACTTAAATAGAAATTACACTCATATCCCAAGCCAGTTTCCTCTGGGCAGTAAAAAATTTCAGAGAGAGTGGTACAACCCATACCTGGTTCTCCCTTTTCTCCCTTTGGGCCATCACGTCCATCTCTGCCGGGGAAGCCATTTATGCCTGGAGAATGACAAGCAATCATGGGGCAGTTGTTTTGACTATGCTCTTCAAATACGGTTTCTGAATAAGAGGCTGCCACCACACTCAGCAGCAGAAGAGGGAGTGATGGGAACAGGAACATGATCCTTACCTTGGGGTAGAGAAAGTGAAGAAAGACAATTCAATGCATATTTATTTACCAAACATGCCCTCTGTCCCACAGCTCTGACCCTGGCAGTGTGGAAACCAGTGACCAATTCCTGGCCTTTGGAATGGGGATTAGGAAAAGCAAATATCCCCTGGGGTATTGTGAAATTAGCACTTGAACAAAAGTGATTGCAGCATGGGGTCGGCACCCTGGAGAGGCGGGGCCGGCACCCTGGAGAGTGGGGTCACCAGAGCTTGGCTTCTGGTGCTGCTTAAGGGTAGTGAGAGTAAATGAACTGCTTGTTACCAGTTCACCTGCCTGTGAGCTTAGGCCGTGACGATGCATGGAGATCCTGGTTTCTTCTAAGGCTCACTCTCTCTGCCTGCCCTCCCCTTTTGAGCCCGTGGACACCCTGACTCCCATCTTCATATGTTGGTGGATGATTTCTCTTCAGGGTGTTAGCCATAATACATTCAGGAGGAAGCCCTGAGCCTCAGACTGACAATCCAGAGAGGGACTGATCAGAGCTTAAGTTGAGATCAGGCCATCTCCCAGTCACTAACCATGCCCAGAAACAGCTGGAGTTGTTCTCCTCTTGGTGTCATTTGCATAGGGAGATAGGTTTGCTAGAAGGCATTTTAATTAATTAACTATTTTATGATAGACTTTGTGATTTTACACTCCCCCCTTTTAAAAACCTCTCCCTGAGCTGGTTCCCCTATACTATTACAATAGTTTAGTCCTTCTAAAGCAGTCCTAAGTCCATCAGTTCATCATTCTGTAATTTAAGTGTATCCTGACATTATAGATATGGACGATGGCAGAGAGTCCAACATCCTAATGTCAAGATATATTGAACAGTTCCATTGAGAATCCATCTTTGATTTGTAAAATATTGCATTGTATCTTTACATCTGGATATGATAAAAGAAAAGTGATAAAACAAAATCAATGACAGGAAGAAAAATGGAAACTTTATAAAAACATGAAGTTAAATAAAATGCTACTGAATGATCAATGTGTCACTGAAGGAATGAAAAAGAAAACAAAAAATCTTGAGGAAATGATTTTACTGTATGACCTATGTGTCACTGAAGAAATTAATAAGAAAAAAACTTTTTTTAAGAAATGAAAACAAAAACAGAAAGATCAAAACTCATGAAGTGTAGCAAAAACAGTATTGAGAGGGACATTTATAACATTAAGTGCTTACAAAAAAATCAAAATATCTCAAATAAATGATCTGGTAATGTGTCTCATGGACTTACTAAAAAGGCAAACAATGAGCAGGAAGCAAGAAATGATAAAAATCACAGCAAAAATAAATGACATTGAAACTAAGACAAAATTACAAATTGCAACAGGAAGGAGCCATTTTTTAAGAAGATGAGCAAAACAAACTTTTAGCCAGACTAGCAAAGAAAAGCAAAGCAGAAAAGAAAAACTCAAAGAATTCAGCTCTTCTAAACCTACTCTAAAAATGTTCTCAAGACAGAGAAAAGGAATTACACCCACCAAAACCAAAGGCACACGGAGAATGTCTCAATAAACCAACAAAAGAAAATAAAATCAAACAATGAACTACCTATTGCTAAAATGACAGGACCAAATTATTACATATCAGTATTAATCCTGAATGTAAATGGCTTAAACTCATCAATCAAGTGTCATAGATTAGTGAACTGGATCAGAAAACAAAACCCATATGTTGTATTGCCTACAGGAATCACATTTCACCAACAAAGACAAGGGGAAACTGAAAGTGAAGGGATGGGAAAAGATATTTCAGGCTAGTGGAAAGGAAATATGAGTTGGTGTAGCCATTCTTATATCGGATAATATAGACTTTGATGTGCAAAATATTAAAACAGATGAAGGATACCACCTAATGAGCAAAGGATCCATTCTGCAAGAAGCGAATCACCTTACTAGTTTCTTATGATGTTTTCTTTTTTAAGTCTTACTTACTTGGAATTTTCATTTGTGACAGTTGTCAATACCTTGGGCCTAACACGATATGAGACCCCTAGAGACTGCTTGCAGAAATTCCCTGTATTTTTTTGAGTCAAAAGCCATGGACAATCAGCCAGTCTACTCAAATTATATTCCATTTTCTCAATCTCAACATTTCATCCATCCTTCAAAACCCTGCAGTGCCAGCCTCGCAGCCCAATCTATGAAACCTTCTGTCTGTCTCTTTGCAAACAAAGGTGATTAACCTTGCCGTAACTGAAGAAAGTCAGCATACGCATAGAGACACCTCCAGCATGATTTCTGCCCTCTCCCACCCACAGAAAACCTCCTTTTAGACCTCCAGAGCCAACTCAAGTCTTCAGACACTTGACCCAGGGACCTAGATTCATTCCTCAGAAATGACTTACTTGGGCTTGGGGAGGGCAGGGATTCAGTGACAAGGCAGCTGGCACTCCAGCCTGGCACTCAGAGTCAGGGATGCCTTAGAGTTAGGGAGGAGATGGAACCCAAGTATGAGGCCCAGTTGAGTTTCTGAAATGGAAAGCCCTGGCTTGACCTTCCACCCTAGATTAATAAGTAACTTCTTATGTCCACACAAAATTTTCTGTTGGATCATTCTCCAGGAGCTCTAGCACAATGATAAGTGGCTGCATGCTTTAATACACAATCTGTAATTTGACTGCCATATCTCCTACTCTCTCCCATCCCCAAGAAACCATAGGTAGTTTTTTTTTTTTTTTGCCAGTGATTCATGTGCAATAGATGCATGTAGGGTTGCTATTCCCATTGTACATACAGACATAAGCATGTGCACACACACTCTTATTGCTGTCCATGTGTTAAGACCACTACTGCCTCTGTGCATCATTAGCTGATTACTTCTCCTTAGATATTCCTGTCTCAGAGACATCTGCTTGCCTCACTACCTAAGGCAGTCCCCACCTCCAGATGCACTGTCTCCAGGTGGAATGCATCATTTTCCTTCATATGAATGACGCCGTTCCATATGATCGCTACATATTTATTTTACTATGATTTTGTTGTAAAGTGTATAAAACTTGAAATCTAAAATTTTGAACGTTATGATGTAGACAGTTTGGTGACATGCTCTTCCCTCTTCCTGATACTGGTAACTACTGCTCTGCTTTGTGTCTCTGTAAGGATGATCATTCCAGGAATTTCCTGCAGAGCATGTGATCACTGACCTTTTGCCTTTGGCTTATTTCAGTAAAATGTCTTCAGAGTTCATCTAAGTTTCAAGATGTATCGTAATTTAATTCTTTTATACATCTTAGCATATCTCATTATACAATATGTGTGCATTATGAAAGCTTTGATTCTGATAGTCAAAATGAATTAAAATAATTGAATCATCCCTCATGTGAATGGATAAGCAAACTATAACATATTCATACAAGGAAAGACTGAATAGAACAGGGTGTTGGTTCATGTAATATCTTGGGATGGATCTCAGGGGTGTTGAGAAAAAGAGATATAATCTCCTATTTCCAAAATGTATGATCCATTTGATATATAACATTGTTGAAATGACAAAAGTGAAACAGTGAAAAAAGTACCTGTGATGAATATGACTGAAGCATGGAGAGGTTTAATTGGGAGTAAGGAGAATTCTGTTTTACAATAGTCAGGTATACACGCTTTTGATTGTAATAATTCTTATAAAACTAGACACTCAAAAAAAACCCTTAAGTAAATAATGGCTAAATGCAAATAACATCTATCTTATGCTGTTTATTATTTTTTAAGCTTCCACGTGACAATGAAATTATTTCAAAAGAAAAACGTTTCCAAAAGAGTCCTACAGAAGTTGTGAATTCTGCAAGGATTATTGATCCTTCTCTCAGAGATTTAATCAAATTTCACCCAGTGAATGGAATATGTAGTGGCTGGCAGGTGAGAAAAGCTGGCTAGGTTCCAAATTTCATTCTGCCTGGACTTAACACATGGATACCCATGTTGTGAAAGATGAGGCAAGAGCTGACTGACCAGGGGGCTTGTAAACAGAATGGAAGAGTTTGGGTGATCTCCCAAGAGTCACTAGATCAATTCCAGTAGCTATATGATTAAACTTGGGTTTTCCTGGCTGTGTCAGGTAGAAAGATTAAAAGAGAGCAGCCGTGGAGAAAAGCAGACACATGAAGATGAGCAGAATTAGGATAATGGCAGATGGATGAAGATTGTGGAAACATTAGAGAAGCACATAGGAGATGCAGTTGTGCAGTTGTCCTTGGAAATTGGTTGGATGTGAAATAATAAGTGACAATGAACATACAAGTTTTAGGCTTTAATATCTAGAGATCATTCAACTGAAATAACAAAGACAAAAGAGCAGCAACTAAAGGAACAAAATGAAAGATACTTTTGAATAAATAGTTCAAAGTCTGCAGTAATGGTTAAAGGGGACAATCTGGATTGGAAAGGATAAAACTGTCCTATGGTGTAATTAGCTCAACTCTGAGCTATGATTTTAAGACAGCTGTGGAAAAGTACCACGTTAGCTTGTAATGTTGAGGGAACTCATTGTAAGAATTTCGCACAGAAGCTGTAAGGCACAAGGAAGGTAGGGGTGCTTTGGAGCTCTCCAAAGTTAAGAAGGAATTGCGTTCTTCTCTGGTCCCTTCCCACTGGATTCAACTTTTGCTTAGAGACAGCCTGGTCTCCTTATCTGCTACTGTTCAGATAAATGTCCAGGGTGGTACTGTACCATATGCCTAAGGCAAATATGGGCTCTCAGGGGCTTTGGGGCCAAAAAGACGGGTACACATCTTTCTCATCTCTCTTCCCTGCTCTATAGCAGCCAGAGTTTCCTACTCTCCATGAACTGAAGTGTCGTTAGGTGAGGGCAAGGCAGCTGCCCACAAAACAAACCAGAGGGCCTTGGCCAAAGTGTTTTCTTTGCTTCCTTAGTCCAGACTACCCTCCAGGTTCGGACACTTCCTATATCCTGGCCGGAAGAAGATGAACACCTGGATCAGAAGTCAATTTACGAGTTTGAGCTG